CAACACACAAACTAGCACTTCAAATCACTATGAAGTCTGCTTGCCATTTCTTGTTCAGTCACCACGGAACCTTAGAACTCAACTAAGAAATTCTTCTGGAATCTTAACTACACCGCACTGCACTGTGCTCTGCAATCTGCACTGATCTAAGCTACAAGAGGTCTTCATCATATAGGCTCCACACAGATGACACAGAAAATATAAGTCACACGATTCCTAGCCAGTGAGTTCATTGCCACACTGACTGTTGCCTAGCAATGAGCTATAACATTCATCCACTGAGACACATTTTCCACTGTTGCACATTGGAATGTGTTTATTGAGCTGTCATCTAGAAACACTTTGAGCAAATCCGTTACAATACTTAATCTGCATTCCTTTGACCAACATACAAAGACGGAAAATTCCCAGTACATGCATCATTTTAATTAGATATGTTGCCAGTAACAGGTTTTATATCAAAACTGGTTATTTCGTTTCACTGATATGTACATCATCCATTTTATATGAAACTGCATTCCATCATTAGTTTTGTCCTATAATCGACATTTGATTACTGCTGAACTCTCAAATTTGGACTGCCAAAATCCACTTCAATTACATTTGGAAATAGCTGGAACCAGATGAAACTGGTTTTCATTTTATCATTTAAAAAATGTTCATTAAATATTATTCCATGTGCAAATTCAAGAATAATGAAACATACTTCATTTTCCCTTTGCATGTCAAGAAATTCACATCCATATGGTTCATACAAGCACTTGTTAAAATTATAGAATTACCACCTCAGAAGATGGGCAGGTTAATCTGCTGCAAATATGGCTGGTAAGATTTTGAGGATATGGCACTTTGCAAACCTTCAAAAAATTCAACTTTGCTTCATATACTTGCAAGAACCAAGTACTGAAATTTTTGTCGTCACACAGCTATTATGAAATTCTTATGTGAATACTCTTGTTCCCTGCAAGAGTGGTGACTATTTTCACAAGCTTTGAATGACCTCTTCAGTCGACATAGTGTGTCCATGTCACATTCAGCTTCACTTAACTCGTGTCCATCTGAGAAACCGGTCGGGGGATCAAGACATGTAGTAAGAGGGATGTTGGTGTCTTGCCACCTGCAAACATATCATTTAAGCCTGCATTATTCCTCGTGCATCAAGAGAGATATTTTGGGCACTGCAGATATTATTTGTACTTTGTTGACATTAAAGGTTAAACATTTATTTTATGCATTCATTACTGAAATGAGAAGGCCAACTTGCACTTAGTGTGAACAACAGGAGAGGATGCCCAAATTAGAATGTTAGACGTCAGATTAGTTGCTTAGGAGACAAGGTTTAGGCATGCACACAATCAAAATCTTGTGCCACACTCCTTGTGTATAGATCACAATATGATATCTTCTGAATGGGCAGGCCCGAATAAAAACAAGATACTTTTCTTGATGTTTATGAATTATTTTGACATTGTGAAATAAATTTCAGTTTCATGATGAACTTTTCACATTCAAAATTTGAAAGCCCTTTTCACGTGAAAATTCAGTTCTGTGCAACAAACATTCTATTTTATTTTTCTTCCTTGGTAGTGTTACATATTTGCTTGTTTACAAATCTGTGAATAAAGAAAATATCAGAATTATATGTGAAACATTGTTAGTTGTTCCTCCTTCAGTAATTTGGACAGCCATGAGCTAGGTATTTTTAACAGGACAGATTTAAGAAAGGGCAATCCAGGGGTAAATTCTGCTGGCATTTGTTTAACCTTTTGCACTTATTATTATTTTTTTTATTATTATTTAATGTTGGCCAACCAACAAATGTTACTTTTCATGCATTTAGGCTAATTGTGGTAATCTTCACACAGGCTTCGGAATAGCCGTGAAATGGGAGACTTGGGGTAACATGTTACTTACATATTCAATGTTCTGTTTAGAGTCAAGGAATTACCGTCTGTAAGGAGGCTCTCATCTTGCTGGATGAACTGCGTTCAGTTTGAGGCAGTGAAAATTCTGGGATTTCTTTCATCAAGAAATGCTGAAGTCCACAAAGCATGCTCGAAATAGAGTAGTTATGGATTCATGGACAATTTACTTATATACATATTTATAATAGTGCAATTACAACTTATTTAGTATTCATTTTCACATTTTCCAGATGTTGTGCTTTTTGAAACATTCATCTGGATGCAGTCCTGAATAGGAATATATTTCATAGAAGTGCACAGTTTCCCGTCATTCTCCCCTGATCTTTTGATTGATGCATATTGCTCAATCCTCCATAATTTTTCTTTCACTTTTCATGATGGAATGAAACAACTTACTATTCGATCTTTCTTTATTTCTGGATGATGGCTGGCCGCGTACCCCAGCTGTGTGTGCAGTTCCAAAAAATAAGTTTAATCGCTTCTTGTATGGCGCCTTTTTCACTCTTTGTTGATGTACTTTACATCTATGGTTGGGATATCACTGGATGTCAAACCAGACTTGTATCACACCAATGGATGAAGAAAGGGTGAGTCTTTTTCATTGTTTCTGAAGGGAAGGAGTTCACTCTATTTCAGTTTGAGTTTCTTGATTTTGTATTTCAGCATCCCATTGCAATTGTTCAAATAATATGCAACAGAAATTTTGAAGGATTTTATCTCGTTTTACTTAAAGAGAAGACTACCGCGTGTGATTTTAACATGAATTAAAACAGTGTAGCAGTTTTTAACACAGTTTTAGTAAAATATCTGTAATATAAAGACACCTGAAGATGGCCGTTTGGGGCCAAAACATGTAGTGTTGAAGTGTAGAACGTAAAAGTGTTGCAATTTCGATGGAAGATAAATAATGGACACTAATTTGAGTCTCTTGCCTGTGCTGGGAGGCCCTTTCTCTCAGCCTATATTGTTCCACTTGTGTGTAGTACATACATATATAAGATTCATTTAGCTGGATTGCTATATTTCCATCTTCAGCAATCGACGTATCTGCTTGGCTGATAAACTGCGCAAAGTTTCCATCAGTGCATTCAGCCATGTTTGATTTTGCACATACAAGGTGTGATACCCTGAAGCTGTGGAGCTGATGGCCTCAAATGTTGTTCCCGAATATCTAAAAGAATTTAGTCCACAAAAATATCTTTGAAGAAAGTAATCTCACAAAATATGTCTTCCAACCAGTAATCTTGCATTCTACATTTTGCATTCAAATTCGACACCAAGAAAGCCTTCAAGCAACTGGAACAACTTATGACACCTTCTTTCACATACATATAAAGGTATCGCGTACTACAAATAAATGAATAAACAAATTACTGGTGCATAATTTCATCTTATAGAGATTTCCACTACATCGAAGTCATGAGACATAATCTCAAAATTTCAAACCATCAACATGTTTGTAACATATAACAGTTGGAACACCCCATATGAACTAAGGCATGCTTATAGCCTATTTCCATACTAATTTTAAAAAAAAAAATGCATTCAAAATCCATTCATGAATTGTGTTGGAATGCATAATTCAAAGCAAAATTCTTGACTTTGTTTCATATCTGTGTATAAATATGAAGAGCTGTAGCACTTTCCCTCAGTCAGCTACTGTCTGCAGGAATGCATATACGTATTCTTAGAACCAAATACAATATGCTAAAATTAGAAATTGGCTCTGACAAATTCCTAGTGTATATTATGTACTTGACTTTGGAGTTTATTGCTTCACTAGGAAGATGGAGTCCAGCTTACTTTTTACCTGACGTTGTGCCGGTGCCGGCGTGCCGCATTTCTTCTGTCAGGGACAGGAGATTGTTCAGGGGATGTACTGGATTCCAGCCCCCCACCAGGCCCTTCTCCTGTACCCATTCCTGTCCCTGGATACAGAAGAGCTGAAATACATCGATATTTACATGCTGTACCCACACTTCTTAAGGTGAAATCTGAGGAAAGACATTTATCATTAAATTAAAAATTGTATAAACGTTTGTGATATTTTAATAAATTATGCTTCCCTACGATGTGTCAACCATTTCACTACCAACCATGAGTACATTTGCTGCCTGGCTATGTTGTCTGTCATTCCAGCAATAAATACAGTTATTTTCCTTCAGTTTGTTTTTGATGTTCTCACTGTAAAACAGTAACATCTGGAATGCTGTTATCGCTATTAAATTAAAGAAACTGTATGGCAGGACTTCTCAGAACTTCAAAAATGTGATTCAGACCAATGAAATTGTCTCAGTTTTAGATAACTGAACTCCTAATTATACCCTTTTAACTTACAGATACAGATTGCATTCGGTTTTCTTTTGAGTCCACAGTGAATTTGAATTTTGTAGTTTCATTTTATCATACAATAGCAATGAAACGTTGTTTTGAAGATGATGAAATTGAAAGGCAGTTGAAATGCGAGACATGTGATGTGGGACTGTGCTTTCTCAGGTGCTTCAAGGAGTATTACACAAAGGTGAGATTCAGTTACATGACATGGGGGTTGAAGCCTGTATATATGTCGAGCAGATAACAAAAAAAATATTTAGGACAGTGCATATGCTTCTAGTAGCAGAGTGTGTGCTTGCTTCCACTAGTGACATTTAAATGCCCGATTGCACAAATCAGGGTATTTTGGCCATGATGACCACACACACATCAGTGCACTTTCAACGCTAAAGGTTAACCCTTCAGTGTGGTATCGTTTTTCATTTTGTAGTAGATCCTGGAGCATGAGGAATGTCATAACATGAGAAAGGGATATATTTCGATTTCAAATATCAAGTGATGTATGCCCTCTTTGCATTAACGTTTACTTAGAGAATATTGCCCATCATGTGAATACGAAGCTGCAATCTTACTCCTTTGCAAGAAACAGAGAACTTCATAAAGCAGCAATGATGCTTTCAGCATGGGTCTGCGGAATGTGAGATACAATTAATGCTGATGAATAATGGTGGTCATTTGCCTTCAGGGCCTTGGAGGTAAAGGTGGGGTTTTCCCTGTACCTAATTAAGCATCACCCAATGAAGATGTATGGGAAGTTGAGGTACAGTTCCACGCATTCTGACCAGCCTAAAGTGTAGGTGAGGGGTCAGCTGCACACTCTAGGCTCCTGATTCCCAGAGAAAAAGTACACAGTATCTATCTGATAAGAGGCCACGTGGGTCCCAGCACTATTCTGGACATAGTGATGAATCAGATTCTTACCTCTGTTAAGAAATGAACTCCAGTCACCTGTCATGTAGCCAGTCACTATACTGACTGCGCTGGCCTAAGATAACCTTAGAAGCGATCAGAAATATGAAAATAACTGGAGTGGCAGATTATACAATTAATTCTATGAATCGATATCAAAACTATCTGAACCATTCCAAATTTATGTTCTGAGCATGCATGCTGCAAGCAGAATGTTGGGACTGACTGGTGACTAGCATGTTCTGTGGCATTCTGGCATCACGATTTTAAAACCGACGCATAAAAACAAGAGACTGAAATCTACATACTTTGAAGTGATATGCGCTCTCCTCTGGATGCGGGCCTTGGCAAAGGCCCCAATTCAGGTTTGCAATCTGTGGAACCTGAGTAATCGGAACTCTCAGACCGTAAACGTTTATTCTTTTGATTTGCTCTCAATTTTGTGTAACCATCGTGAGGATTACTCTAGAACATAACAAAATAAAGTTACTATTAATTTTACATTTTTACTGAAGTTTATGTTTCCCAATTATATACTGAGGATATTTGAGAAAAGGGTGCTGAGGAGAGATGAAGGGACAGGAGGCTGGAGAAGCTGTGTAATGAGGATAATCTCCAGAAAGAAAATATTTCTATTAATTTACCACCGTTATAAACCTTTAGATCTTATCTGAGTAATGAGGAGCTTCATACCTTGTACTCTTTGCCAAGTATAAATA